CTGTGGTCAATGTCATGAGACAAAGTATATGTGAACTGCTGTATGGAAAGTGAATTTGCTCTGTAAATCTTCACCCAAATCACAATAAAAAAAAGAAATAATAAAAAGATGATAATGTCACCAACACATATCATCATCAAACTCACCAAAACCAATGACAAAGAAAGAAACCTGAAAGCAGCGTGGGAAAAACGAAAAGTTACCTACAAGGGGCAATCAATAAGACTAAGCTCACATTTCTCGGCAGAAATCATGGAGGTGAGAAGGCAATGGGATGGTATATATAAAATCCTGAAAGAAAAAATTTCCAATCAAGAATTATACCCCCAGCAAAATAGTCCCTCAAATGTGATGGTGAAATTAGGACATTTCCAGATAAGCAGAAATTAAAGGTGTTTGTTAAAACCAGACCAACCTTTCAAGACATGCTAAAGGGAGTCCTTTGGACAGAGAACAAACAACAACAGACCATTAACACACATGATGACATTACCCAGAAACCAATCCAGTTATAGAAATATCCAAAGTAAATAAGCCTACAAGATTGTAAATAGGGAACCAGAGACATCAATTGACAAATGAGGACAACTACAAAACAAAAGGAGAGAAGAAATAGTGCAGTTACAGAACTTCTAAATGGAAAATGGTAGGGAAGTCAAGATAACTGCAAGATAGAATGGCCTGTTCTAAACTTGGGAAGAAAATTACAAATCACAGGGTAACCTCAAAGAAAAATGATAAACCTTCACATCAAAATAAAGTTCCTGAAGGAAAAAAATAGGGGCAAATTTAGGAGCCCTAATTTATGTCATAAATAGACTGTCAAGCATAACCCAAAATGCACAAACCACAGAAGAGAAATTGGATGAATGGGACCTTCCAAAAATTAAATTTTTAAGTGCTTCAAAAGACTTCTCCAAAAGAGTAAAAAGAGAACCTATAGATTGGAAAAAAAAAAAAAAATACTTGGCAATGACATATCTGACAAGGGACTTATCTCTAAAATTTATAGAAAACTCTAATACCAAACAACAAAATGACAAACAATCCAATTTAAAAATGGGCAGAAGACATGAACAGACACACTTCATCAAAGAAGATATTCAGGTGGCCAACAAACACATGAAGAAATGTTCATGATTATTAGCCATTAGAGAGATGCAAATCAAAACAACAATAAGATACCATCTTGCCCCAGCACTAATGGCAAAGTTCAACAAGACAGAAATTAACAAATAATGGCGAGGATGTGGAAAGATTGTGACTCTCATACACTGCTGGTGGGACTGTAAAATTATACAACCACTGTGGAAAGCAGTATGGCAATTCCTTAAAAAGTTGGAATTAGAAATACTATTTGACCCAGCAATTCCATTACAAGGTATATATCCTAAAGAAGTGAGAGCCAGGACAGGAACATATATATGCACACCCATGTTCATCGCAGCACTATTTACAATAGCCAAAAGATGGAAACAACCTAGGTGCCTATCAAGAGAAGAATGGATAACCAAACTATGGTACATACACACAATGGAATACTATGCAACTCTAAAGAATAATGTCGAATCTGCAAAACACTGCATAACATGGATGAACATGAAGGACATTATGCTGAGTGAAATAAGTCAATCACTGAAGGACAAATACAGTATTAGTTCCTTACTTTAAAAAGCAAGGAAAGGTTTATATATGGAAGGAAACTTTCTTTGTTGGTTACCAGGGGTGGGCATGGAGTGGAGGGAACACTGAGAAAATTTTAAAAACAAAAAAATTAATCAGACTTCCATAGGTTGAAAAAAAAAAAAAAAAAAAAAGATGTCAGTGGACTTCCAGTTGTGAGCTTTGTCGGTTTTGTAATACTATGTAAGAAATTCCCGACTCCATAGTGGCAGGGGACATCAAGCTCAATTGGCATAACATACTATACAAAACATTGTTCCACCTCCTACCGTGGTGAGTAGCAACTGGGATCTTACAAGCTAGCAAGCTGCCATCTAGATGCAACGATGGGTCTCTCCTCAT